CCTATTAGAGAAAACTGACAATGAAGATACTGTTATGACAGACGCTAATGAATCTTCAAGCCAAATTGCAGAAAACTTTAACCAAAATACCAACACACTTTTAAAGAACCAAACAAAGAGAAAATATCTAAAAATAACAACAGCAATCAACCAACAAGTGTAAACAACCCATGGATTGCTATACTTTCATATAATCCTTTTCAATAACTCCTTCTATAGACCACATTAATGCAGCCACCACTTCTAAAGTAATTATGTTCTCCACATCCTGTAGGCCATCTTTAGAAGAGAATGATGTAAGTAGACAGGTGGGCAAGTCCATTTACGCAGAGGACCATACAGATGGTCAGACCAAACGTACATGGCAGACTATAGAACCCTTCGCAGCTGTAAGAACCGAGCTTAAAACGGTAAGCGCAACTACAGAAGGACATTTACCCAAATCATTACCAACATCATCCAACTCCTATGATTTGGAAATATGCTATAACAAATATTTTACTTATTACCAACTTCCTTTATTAGATGAACTACAAACTGTTAATTCTTTATTACAACATTTACGACAAAACAATGTTGACTATTTAGCAGATTTTGCTTTTATTATAGTTCACAGTAATAAAAGTGAAGCACATGTGTATTTACCACATGAATACAATATACTGCCAAATTACTATATTCTATCCACTAATGATTCGCATGATATTCCTCTTAAATCACAATCTAATACACCTATTTTTACATCTACTTCATATATATCTTCTAATTAATACTCTAATAGAAATCGTAATTTACATTTGACAATTGCAATACACAATGTTAGAGGCTTTAATACTATCACAAAAAGAGAAGCATGGCAAAACTATTGTCTAAACCATAACATCTCTATCACTAGTATTACTGAAACAAAGATATCTAATTTATCCTTTTGTTACAACAATCTATTTACATATTATTGGGCAAATTCAAATAGCTCAGCTGAAGGAACTGGCATTATGATCAAAACTATCTTAAACCTCATGTACATAACTGCTTTACTTATCCAGGAGGAGCTCTAGCTTTAGATCTGTTCTTTAAAAGCAATATTAAACTTCGAATTATATCAGTATATCTATCATCTACAGATATGACTAAAAGAAGTGATACACAAGACATAATCATTAAATGGATTCAATCAGCGTTTAACAAAACCTTCACCCAATTATACTTGGTGATTTTAATACACAAAACAGTATCCATAGCTCATCCTCAAGATTAAAGTTACTCAAT